CCCTCACCAATTCTGTCGAATATGGTGTGCACCGAGTTATACTCGAATCTGCCTCCAGGATATAATGAAGCCTAGTCTAAAGACTGATGTTAGATTGCGTCATACATGAATGAAATCAAATCCCAAATACTTTTGAATTTTTCTAATCCACCAATTATAGAGGAAAATAACAATATGAATGTTAGAGAGAAATTCCATGAATAATGTTCTATGGATTTCATATGGATTACTTCTTATCCAATCGTCAACCCATTTCGCCTTTATATAGGCATTTGTATCCCTTAGACCAAAGGTTGTGTCCTTTATATTCGAAAGTGACACTCTAAATCCAAGAGTCATGTCTTTTTGTTTAAACTCAATGGTTATACCCTTTGGTTTAAATCTAAAAGTCACATTTCTTCAATAATTCATATAACTATATTATATATTTAAATATATATAAATATATTATGAAAATGTTCCACCAATCCCCTACCATTTTCAAAATATATGAAAATAACAACTTTGATAGATTAGGAAAATTTGTGCATAAATGAAGATATATTTTGATTTGAATCATTCACTTAGTGAAAACACATCAAAGCTAATCAACATGGTATAGTAGACTATCTTTGAACTAGAGATCTTTTACAATTAACTGGACATGCCTCACTCACAAATTTTCTTCTCCTTAGGTAATTCCAAAAGCCGACACATGAATTGGCCTTGTGTCTATATCTTGTTTCATGAGCGCTCCAAAGTCAAGCCCTTGGACTCATAAAAAGTGACACCACCTCCTACACTCATATAGGTAAGTTTACTAATAGTACCCCTATAACTACAGTACCCTAACTCACCATTGTAAACTTTTTAAGAGCTAAGTAGCTCAACCTCCTCTTTTGCATTATAGGTCTTATTTAAGCACTTTACCTTGGGATAGTCATAAAATTAAAAATTGCTTGAAATCACGACATATGGTGTACTTGGGCTCATTGAACTCAAGGACTTGATGTTTCTTAAAACGTTGAGTCGAGTTTTCACCTGGAGTGATATGTTACTTGTGCTTAAGACCCATCCCCTTTGATGATCTCACATCAAATCCCTTGCAAGTATTTCTTAGGCAATTAACAATCATGTGGACAAAATTCTTACATAACTTTGTATTAGCACAATTTATGACATGATCAACATGTCTGGACTAACAATTACTGTCATAACTATCAACTCATATTGATGATGAGTTTGCATCTTGAAAAATTCAAGAAAAACCGTGACAAAAATACAATGTTAGTCCATCTCTTTTGTTGTAAGAGATTAACAAATTGGAAAAATTATCTCCTTAATTCTAAGAGATAAACCCCTACCAAGAGTAATCTTTATTTACTCTAAGCCATAGTTTTAATGCTAAGTGTTCAGATAAGCACCTTTGTATCATTTCAAAAAAAAAAAAAACTAGATAGCCACTTTAACATATAAACTAACCATTTTTGATAATTTAGAGAAATAAATTGTGGGAGTAAAACAATCAAATACTTAGGATATTTAAAACTAATACTTTTTTATATCTTAATGTGGAGAAGTGGTTTGGAAATACTCTTCAGATCCTGGGAGACGCTAGTGATCCTCAGCTAGTCACCTGAAAAGATACAAACACTCCGGTTAGGGGTGCCGGAATTAGCACTCCGACGGACAAGTCAGTTCAGATGCTCGGGATAGCTTCTTTTCTAAGTTAAGTGAAGTGATTCTTACATACCTTTCTCAATCCATTGTTCTTGTATTTATACCTGTTCCTTTTGATCCTCAGGGCCAGGGCCTACTTTTTAATCATTGTCCTTTCTCTTATCCGGCTCTAAAGATCTACACTTATTCGGCACATATATTATATTTGGCTTCCCATTCCCGTAGGATACAGCCGATTAATATCAGTCTTCTAAGGTACGCACCTTCTGATTCTGCCATTATTCGACTCCCACACTTAAGTTTCTTAATTTGTACTTGTATTTGTTTTGAGTCATAAATTGAGCAACCAATATGAAATTTCCATTCAAATACAAGTTACATAAATTAGAAATTCTAATTTAATTACATTTAGAAAATTCACCAAGTATACAATATATACTCTATATTTTCTCAAGTTTCAAGAATTCACAAACCAAAAATCATACATGATTTTTATGACTAAAATCATAATTTGTTTTTAAAAATACATTCTTAAAACTTCCAAAAAATATATACTAATAATTGTGGGCTATTCCTTAAATCCAAAAATAGGATTTGAAATTCAGTTTTTTAGTTTCATCCTTAATCCATTAAATGGATTTATTAGATTGAGAATACTATTTGGGCATTTATTACTTAAAGAACAAAAACTTGGGCCTTATCAGTAAACCATATTATTATAAAATATAATAGCCCAACTCAACTAAGTAAATATAGATGTTGGGTTAAAACTATTGGGCTTATCAAAAGACATAAAACAACAAATGAAACAAGTGAAAACTATATGGAGTAAAATTTCCTTTGGTGTTTAAGTTAATTTTCAGCACTTTAAAATTAATGAAAACAAAAACTATTGATGTAAATTAGACCAAACCCATCATCAGGTAATGCAACATGTTCTGTGTTTCCAGTAAACAACAGTTCAATTCCGAAAATAGTACTTTGAAGGAAAACATAACTTTACATAAGTAAAGTAATCAGGAAATTTACTGATTACAATGCAAAGTACAAAGACTCAATGAAGATGATAACATGCACCATGTTAAATAAGCATAACCCCATGTGAATAAAACATATACATAAGAAACAATGATAAAAATTAAATATAATCACACATGTTAACTATCAAACCCAATACCATAGATTCTAACATTGAACAAATCAGCATTTGTTTTGAATGACAAATATAAGCAAACATAGTTTTTATACCAACTATGAACTTTTGTGTTGTTCAAATTATAAGTATGATTTTCATATAAAAATCACAAAGCAGAGCACTAAGACATACCTTTGCCAATAATAAATTGAAGTAAACCATTTTATCAATTTGATCTTTTCAAAAATATTGTCTTAAGATTGTTGGTGTAAATTTGGTATATGAGATGGAAAGAGATAAAATAGAAAATGATCAGAATTGCTTTCCTTAAGACAATATCCGCCCCTATCAATTCTGTCGAATATGGTGTGCAACGAGTTACCCGAGAACCTGCCTTTAGGATACAATGAAGCTTAGTCTAAAGACTAATGTCTGGTTGTGTCACCTTTGAATTTTTCTAATCCACCAAGTATAGAAAAACAATAATAATATGAATTCTTAAGAGAAATTCCATGGATTTTCTATAGATTTCGTATGGATTTCTTCTTCTCCAATTGCCAACCCATTCAGCCTTTATATAGGCATGGGTTTGTGTCCCTTAGACCAAAGGTCATGTCTTTTAGATTCAAAAGTGACACCCTTTAAATCCAAGAGTCATGCCTTTTTGTTTACACTCTATGGTTTCCTTTTGGTTTAAACCCAAAAGTCACATCTCTTTAATAATTCATATAACTATATTATATATTTAAATATATATATATATATATAAATATAATACTACAATGTTCCAACATATTCTGAGAAAGTTTTCATATAGGAAATGAAACTTGATCCTTACAACAGCTGTAACAAATCATTTACTTCTGGTTTTTGATTGAGAGGATATTTCTCTCATGAGTCATGACTGTCAAAGTTTGAGTGTAAATGGATATCATGGTCTAGGATTTTTATTAGCACAGGTTCATTCAGAGTTTATGAATGATTTAAACAATAGTATGCCTACCCAATCTAGTAAAGTTTACCAATTTTTCTTTTTAACTCACACGTGACAATTAGGTTGTCTTCATCACATTATTCTAGTAGATCTAGTTTCAAATATCAAAATTTCACTCTTCCAGGTCATATCTATTAATAAGAAAAATTTGTAAAATTTCTAGGACCTCCGGACAGGATTATTATAGTATGATTCGCTGCAATCAGACCCCCTAATATCTCATTTACCTGTGTTGCACCTCCAAATTCCAATCAGGTTAGATTCAAGTAAATCAACTTTGTTCTTTATAAATAACCACTGTCCCTAAACTGAACTAATTCAAATTGTTTTTCCTTGTAACCGAGAAGTATTAAAATTCAAAATATCCTATGACATTCAAAAGAAGCATAAAAATGAAGCAATTAAGTTGTATTTCATAGGCTATAGCAATTCTTTCCTGCACTTAGTTACTCTTCTTTTTAAGAGTGAAATATTCATTAGTTTCAGCAAAAGGGAATGGACTTTTGGCCTTTGATTTCCACATAAAAAACACAACAAAGTATTTTTAGTAAGTTTATTAAGAAGAAAATTCTATGATCTTATCCTATAGAATTCCTAAATAAATAAATAAAAACAGGATCTACCATCTAACTAAGGGGAGCTCATCTAACTTGCCCCATGTTGATTCTACCTGCTCCTACTAACTATATTAAAAATTACAGGTATATTGACTATGGACTTGGAGCACAGCCCACCATTGTTGACCTGAGAAGGGGAGCCAATTTCAGTCTTCCATTTCTTTATTTTTGTGATCTTCGTGTCTTCTCTTATCCCTCCACTCCACTCTTATCCTCCTTCATCGTCTCATTATAACGATTGGTTGCCATTCCAAATCTTGTGTGCTAAAAACCACATCGACAGCTCTATAGGGCTCCAAAGCTGAGAAATATGTCATCTTTTCACGATGGGAATAAAATTACAATTGGTGTGTATCAATCCGAGGAATTGTGTTATTGGTTTTCACTTGTTGATATTCAATTGGCGACCAACAACTTCGATGATGCTTTGGTCACTGGGAAAGTCGGATTCGGTAAGGTGTATAAAGGGTTCATCGACTGTAGAGCTACCACTGTTGCCATTAAGTGATCGAATGCAGAGTCTAAACAAGGGGCAACAGAGTTTTGGACTGAGATCAAGACACTTTCCAAGCTCCGGCACACACATCTTGTGACTATGATTGGCTACTCTGATGATTGCGAGGAGATGATACTTGTTTACGAATACATGGCCAATGGGACACTTGTCGATTATCTCTACAAAAATAGTAGGAAAGGAAATGGGAATGATATTTCTATCATCTTACTTGGGAGGAGAGGCTCAAGATTTGTATTGGTGCTGCCCATGATTTGTATTGGTGCTGCCCATGGATTAGACTACCTTCATAAGGATACGGAGAAATGTGTCATACACAGGGATGTGAAGACCACAAACATACTGTTGGACGAGAATTGGGTAGCTAAGATTTCAGATTTTGGATTGTGTAAAATGGTAAACACAAGCCATACACGAACCCACGTTAGTACATATGTTAAAGGCACATTTGGTTATTTTGATCCAACGTATTTCTTGACTCGTAGACTAACCAAGAAATTAGATGTGTATGCGTTTGGTGTGGTTCTATTTGAAGTGTTATGTGCAAGGCCACCGGTAGATACAAGTGTTAAGGAGGACCAAATGAGTCTAGTCCTATGGGTTCAAAATTGCATCAAAAAGAGAACCCTTGACCATATCATTGATTTCTCTTTAAAAGGACAAATATCACCAAATTGTCTAAGAGTGTTTGCAGAAGTTGCTAACAAATGTTACATAATTATCCAAAAGAAAGGCCTACAATGAGTGAAGTTGTGGGGAGCCTCAAGCATATATTGGCATCATAGGGCAATATTCGTATATCTCGAAAAAAGGAAATAATAAGCAATCTGTTTTTGAGTACTAAACATGTAGTGGCTAAAGGTATTGATATTGGGTGGAGGAAGTGGAAGAACTAGGGTCCTAAGAATGGAGTGTCAGGGCAGTTGTGGAGGGATCTGGTTGAGAGGGATTGGGATGTGTTTTAATGCAAGGGGGAAGGGTGGTAGCATATGGCTCGTGCCAACTGAAGACTCACGAAAGAAACCACCCGACTCATGACTTAGAACTCGCCGCCATTGTTTTCACTTTGAAGTTGTGGAGACACTACCTCTATGGTGAAAAATTTGAAGTCTTTTCTAACCACAAAAGCCTCAAGTACTTATTTTTCTAGAAAGACTTAAACCTGCGTCATCGGATATAGATGGAGTTCTTGGAGGACTATGATTTTGAGATACACTATCACCCTGGTAAGGCCAATGTAGTAGCGGATGCTCTGAGTAGAAAGTCGATGAGTGCAATAGCGAACTTAGCAATGAACGAATGGAAGATGATGGGGGATGTAAATGAATATTCTCTACCGCTCGGTGAATCTTCGAAACAAGCAACCCTCTTTGCCACCGTTGCATAACCGACTCTTGTTGCAAAAGTAATTGAAGCTCAACTGGGAGATTCAGAAGTGGAAACCATTAAAGAGAGAATTCAACTTGGAAAGGAAGAGAGGGGTTTAAATGTTCATACAGACTCTAGTATTCGTTACCTCGACCGGTTGCTTGTACTTGAATCCATGAGAAGTAAAGTTTTGAAAGACTTTTATCATTCCCGTCTCGCTGTGCACCCGGGGGGCACCAAAATGTATCATGATCTAAGCCGCCAATTTTGGTGGAGGGTATGAAGAATGGCGTAGCCACTTTTGTGTCCATGTGTTTAACATGTCAACAAGTTAAGGCGGAACACCAAAGACCAGCTGGACTATTGTTGTGATAATCCTGTTTCGTATTATGCTAATTGGTCTTTATTATAAATATGATTATGTGTTTGATATGATTTTGTCTGCCATTTATGTGAAAATATATGGTTTTGAATGTCTATCTGTTCACCGTAGGAATATCTGTTTGATTATCTACTTTGAAATTTAAATTGAAGGCCTTATCGGCCACAAAACCCGAAATTGATTACGCCATTGTGATTAGCGTAATTTTTAGAGCCTACGGTGAAATTTAATTGAAAATTAATTCGGATCGAATTAAATAGATTAAATTAATGATATAGTGCGCAATTATTTAATATTTATAAGTGTGATTAGTGGGACTTATATTAAATAGGCACTACGCACTCAATTCCTCTCATTTGTTACATTTTGGCTGATTTTGGCTGATTTTGGCTCTCTAGAATGGGAGAGAACCGAATTTGAGAGAGAAAGTGTGGGAAATTGAAGGTTTGCTCAAGAAGCTTGAATAAATTGGGAAGATTAAGGCTCCTAGGTGAGTAATCAACTCTTGACTCATGAATTTTAGTTTGTAAATTGTAGATTCCAAGTTGAATGATGATAAGGAACATGAGTTAAGTTGGTTTTGTTGAATTGGAAGCCAATATGTACATGCATGTAAGAAATTTCTTTGAATTTCCATATTTAAGCACAATATGTATGATCCATGTTGAATTTTTTGTTTAAGTCCATGTATTTGATCATCTCTTCACCAATTAAGTTGAGAATAATGAGTATCTCCCACATGCATATTCAAATCATGGAGGTGTGAGTTTGAATTTAATGTGTGGGTGATAAGTTTGGGTCAATTTGAGGCATGCATGTAAGTAATTCAAGGAATTGAGCTTCATTGTGTCGTAATTTGGTGTTTATACCATGTTAGTACATGTTTATATGAAGTTTGAGCCATTATATGCAAGAAATGTTGGTTGGAATGTTGAATTTGAGCTCAAGAACCATTCTGGAAAACCCAGAAATTTTGATGTACGCTCGAGCGGGGGAACCGCCGCTTGAGCGGGAAAAATAGGCTCCCACCATTTTTGCAGACATGGACGTCCGCTCGAGCGGGGAAGTTCACGCTCGAGCGGGGAGCCATGTAGTGAGGCCTTCCGCTCGAGCGCCAGAATTCGCGATCAAGCGTAAATATGACATAACCAATACTTTTGCAGGCCTCAAGGGTCCGCTCGAGCGGGGAAGTCCACGCTTGAGTGGGGACCCTGTTTCTGAAAATTTTGAAAGTGCGTTATGTGTTTCGCTTTCCATTCTCTTTCACTTGCAAGCACTCTTAGGCATGCGTTGAACATTGTAAATGAGATAAGAAGATAAGAATGAAGCCTAAAGAGGAATATGTGAATTAAAGAACGGATTGAATCGGCTGTGACCCATATGTGTTATGTGATGTGTAGGGTCAAGCTCCAGGGAAATCAACCAGCCGATCACTGTGATTAATATCTTAACAAAGATATCTGAAATATGTTATTGTCTAGTTGCTTACTCCTATGTAAGTTTTATAAGTTCGTTGACTCGATTGGTGGACAATGTTTGCTATGTCGAATAAGTGGGCCAAAGGCCAGTATGATCTGAATGCTAGTTTGAATGGGCCGAAGGCCAGTTTGACATGAACGAATGAATGGGCCAAAGGCCAGTATGATCTGAATGATAGAATGATTAGGCCAGAGGCCAGTATGATCTGAATGATAGAATGAATGGGCCAGAGGCCAGTATGATCTGAATGAAAGTATGATTGGGCCAAAGGCCAGTTTGACATGAAAGAATAATTGGGCCAAAGGCCAGTTTGAGATGAACGAATGAATGGGCCGAATGCCAGTTTGACATGAATGAACGAATGGGCCAGAGGCCGTATGACACGAATTGGGCCCGAGGCCGTATGATGTGTTTGGAACCGCAGTCACTTGACCTGTATTTATATATATATATATATATATGCTAGATAGAATATGAATTGGGCCCAAGGCCGTTTGAAGCACGTTGCTATAAATACCGTTTGTGTAACTTCCTTATTTGATATTATTCACTAGGCTTTCGCTCACGCTCATTCATGTATTTGTAGGTGAGCCAAGAGAGGTCCAAGCCCAACCTCAATGAAGTTTGTGTAGAACAACCGAAGTTTGAAGAGTCAGCCCTTACGTCTCACGCACGAGACTCATCTTCACCCTTTTACCATCTTGTTTTATTTTGTCATGTTGGCGAGGACATTGGATACGTTTGTAGGTAGTTTTTGATTGGCTGACTTAGACTTGAATGATCCTGTATGTACAGAGCTTTGTGTTAGTACATTTTCTGATGTGAGTTATTAACATGTATATGTATGGATTGTTATGATGTGCCATGTAAACACAGCTCTATGGACAAAGTTCTAAAATTTGCTTCCGTTTGGCCCCTCTACTATGATGAGTTATGTCTGGTTTGGTTTGAGGCCATAGGTAATCCCTTGATTACTGGCCGATTATGTCCTAAACCCATAAGGGCGGGTTCGGGTCATGACAGAGTGGTATCAGAGCACAAGTTAATGACTCACACACTTGTCCAAATGAGCAACAAGCGTCTAGAAAAGATCTAGGATGCATTCATATGATAAGTATGAATCTGAGAGCATCAAGAATACGCTTAAATGTTTAATGTGAACGATTATGTGTTATCAGTTTGTGATTTGTTTGCATTGAAAATTAATTGAATATGTATGCTCTTAAGTATATGCATACCTGTGAATCCTTGGTATATAGTATAATACAAGTTTAATCAGATGGTGAGAACAAGAGGTGATGAGATAGAGGAGTCTTCTACTGCCAGAATGGATAGAATGGAAAGACTGATTCAGGAAATGGCGGAGACATTGAGGCAACAACAGTGGCAGCAGCCACATCCTCCACCTCCACCTCCACCTCCACCTTCGGCACCACCCGTGCCAGATAATTAGAATGATGATCGAATCATAGCTCTCACCAAAGAGTTCAAGTAAATGAAACCACCACAGTTCCATGGGGGACTAGATCCGTTGAAAGCTGAAGCATGGGTTCTCGGCATTGAAAAGTTGTTTGAAGTGTTCCCTTGTTCGAAGACACAGAAGGTGCTTCTAGCTACCTTTATGCTAGAAGACGAAGCAAGAAGATGGTGGATGCTAATGCGTGAAAATCATAAAGATGCTAACTGGGCAAAATTCTTGGAAATTTTCTATGACAAGTACTTCCCGCAGTGTGTCCGGGACAAGAAAGTGTCAGAGTTCATGGAACTTAGGCAAGACAGTATGACTGTAGCTGAGTATGAGGCCAAATTCACTGAATTGGCCAGGTTTGCACCACATGTGATTGACACTGATTACAAGAAAGCAAGACATTTTGAAGGTGGGCTTCGAAGTGACATTTTAGAAAAGGTAAATGTTTTGAAGCTAGAAACCTACATTAGGATGCTAGACAGGGCCATAATATCATAAGCTAACATAGCTAGACAGACTAAGTCCACAACTGACTGGAAAGGCAATAAAAGGCAAGGCTTCTTCTCAAAGAAGAAATTTTTAAAAAAGCAAAACACGGGCTTCTCAAATACTTCAAATTCTTCCCAAGACACATCTCTCATGTGCAATATTTGTAGCAAAAAGCACCGTCGGGTTTGTTATCGTGTGTCAGGAGCCTGTTTCAAATGTGGTAAACAGGGGCACATGGCCCGAGATTGTAATCAGAATAGTGGGAAGCTAGCAGCTAGCTCAACTACATCAATCCTGAAGCTGGGAAACACTATGAGATCTGCTACCACCGGGGATACCATGAGGCAAGGGAGAGTTTTTGCGCTTGTTCCAAGCAATACATGGAATGCCAACGCAGTTGTCTCAAGTACTATTTCTATATGTAATTAGGATGCTTTTGTGTTAATTGACTCCGGTACACACTCTTTTGTGACATGTACATTTGCATCTAGATTAAGTAGACCTCTAGAATTATTGCCATATCTGCTATGTATATCTGCTCCATCCGGGGAATCTGTA